AAAACGACAGAAAAAAGACTGATTTAGATTAGTGTTACACTTCCGCTCACACTCACGTTGTCGCCTACCACTCTCAGAAAATACCATGTTTTTTTATTGTTAGTATTTCATATGTACCTTTACATTAGACATTTCTACAGCACTCTGCATTTTAGCCATGCACGAGTACTGTGTGTCTTCTGAGAACCTTCACAGACACGTCTTCTAAAGCAGTTCTCTTTTGCTTTACACTTTTACTCGTGTGAAAACAGCATAGGTTGAGGTCAAATGGCTTCCCTTTGGTGAATGGGAAGCAAAATGGTGCTTCTGGTGTTTTGGAAAACTAACCAGACAAGAACACAAAGCTGTAAAAAGGTCAGCAGTATGAATAGCCACTCTTTAAATCTCTCAGCCCCAATGCTAGAACAAAAGTGTCACTCAGGAGGGCCGTGCATGTTCATTGTGAGGAGCTTCGTTTATATTCTCTCCACTCTCACATTGTCATTTTAACAATTTTCTTCCTCCTTATATTACTCTATGTTGGTTTTTTTCCCTCTTCTCCACCAACTCTTCCCTCCTGAGTGCGGAGGTGCACATAGTGGATGTTGTATAATTACCCATGAACACCACTAGCAGAAGTGGTCCTCCGAGAATGATGTAAATTGGTGACATTTATGAAAATGTCAGTGAGTTTTCATGGGAGCAATAAGGGGTGAGAGAGACCATTATGGTGCATCTTTATTGTGGCAATCCATTTAGCTTCCTTGTGTTGTGCGTTTGAAAGATTTGAGAGTTTCATTCGGTTGTGTTCTAATATCACTTCAGTCCACCGAGACTCGGCGGATGACGTTGATTCGGAGATGATGCATAATGACTGCTGCAAAATCAAACTCTGAAATTTGCCCCAAGGCGAAACAGGATTACGTCAGTGTTCAATATGCCTCAAAGTGTTTTCACATCCTCTGAAAACGTAGTTACTTGTCATAAATTTTAATCATGGATTGTCATCATTGCCTTTACTTTATCATCATCATCATATCACTGTAGCTCCTCTACATTTAAATTCAGAATGCTAGTCCTGAATCATTCAACTAACTAAAGTCAGCAGTTCACACTTCTTCATAAGTAATTTCTCAGGTAAAACTTAGCTAGCAGCTCTTTGAGGCTCACAGTGGCACTTTAAGCTTTTAATGCTAACGTCAGCATGCTAACATGCTCCCTGAATTTGCCATCTTAAGGCCTTTTAAGACCTCGAATGCGTAATATTGCTGGCTTCATCAATCTGTTAAAGTGATAGCTTTTTGTCATTGAAGCAAAGGTCGGGACACCGCACTATCTCATGCAGCTGTCTCATCAGTGTATGCCAATGGTGGGATAGAGAAAGAAAAAACCAAAGCAGACACTGAAGAAGTTGTTTTGATCCTTGGGCACATTGCCAGAATGCTCTCTTCCTGTCTCAGCCTTTTAAAATGTGTTATTTTGTCATTCTGTGAAAGATGAAAAAAAAAAAAAAGAATAATTGTTCCAGTATTGAGTTGTCTAACTTAGTATATTTCAGTCAATTTGCATTCCTACACTAGCAGAAGTTTTAAACTAGGCGATGGAGCAGAACTATCTTCTAAAGGTTACAGATTTAACAGCATTTTCGCACCTGGTAAACAAGCTGTGCACCGTAGAGTCATTTCAGAGCACTTTCCTGTTCTGAGGAGGAAGATACTATTGAATGTCTCGAACTGAAAGACGTTCTTGTACACCGACATGCCCACCCACCTGCTCTGGCCGGTCGCAGGCCACGGCAGACTCATGTTGCTTGGAGAAATGCACTCTTGACTGGCAGAGGCAGTTCACATTCAAGTGGAAAGCAACAGAATGAGTATTTTATTCAATAAGCCTTTTACCATGCAGAATATAATGGCATCTTATCATTTTGTAATCACTAACATTTTGACAATTCTGCTTTTTCCATTTAACTTTGTTTATTTTATATATA